CAAAAATAATTGATTCCAAACAAAGCATAATATTGACCGTTTAAATTTGAGTAGTGATATTCAGGTCCAAGAGTTGCAATGAATGGTTTTGATTGGTTATTAATACAAAATATACACATTTGGAGGGTCTCACTCCCTTATTTCTTGCATAGATAACCAATACTTTGGGTTCAGGAGCAAAATCGTGATATGAGTAATGCACTTACTAAGTGGAATATTCATATCATTCAATAGATATGTATGAGATACTATTACTTCAACTGAAAAAAGTAATAAATTTGACAATTCACTATAACTACTCCGTGTAAAAATCATTTTGTTGACGCTAAAATCGGTTCCTAAGATCCGATCTTAATTTGATGTAAACTGGGCGTGCCAGAACCAAATATATGGTTCAAATGTAAATTGTCAACTATTGTCCCTTTGAGAAAGTTGACTTTCAGGTGACTGTAAGGAAAAAAAGGAACAATAAAAACTCCTCTTTGAGTTCAGAATTGCCTTGGTTAAAAGGACTTTATCAATGAAAAATTATAGTAAAAGATTGAGAGAATAGAAAGGGGAGGAAAATGGATACAGCAAGAAAAGAGAGAGAAAGAGAGATAGAAGGAAAGAGGAAGAACGAGAATAAGAAGATAGGAATAAAGAGAAATGGATACAGCAAGAAGAGAGAGAGAAAGAGAGATAGAAGGAAAGAGGAAGAACGAGAATAAGAAGATAGGAATAAAGAGAAAGAAGAAATAGTAATGATGTTATTCTTGGAAAAACTTGAGAAAGCAAACAAATAATAATAATGATTCTGAGGGTGCTGGACCTCTTTCTCAGCATGCCCTTTTGTTTATTTATAGAAATTATCAGAAACAAACTCCTACCAATAAGTATTCCAATTACAATAAAACTCTATCTCGTCACCGAATTTAAATTCAAACTAAAGTTCCTAGATAAACATTAATTCTTAACTAACATAAAGTTCAAAAAGTATTTCAAAAAATACTCTATCCGATCTGTAGCGCCTTTGCCTGTAGCTTTACTCTGTGCGGAACCTGCCACGTCACTGTTCCTTTACCTGTACTCCTTGTTCATGTATAACACTGGTAAGCTTTATTCCAACTGAATTACTAAACCAAACCAACTTTAGCCCAATCATAAACCATGACTCAAATATCCTTCACGGCCCAATGTTTGTGCAGCCCAAGCCTTCATCATTCATCAGGCCCATATACTCTTGGCCCATACCATCATTTCACTGTTTATCAAGTCCAATTGGAATCCAGACCCAATTACCAAAATGGGTGTCAACAATGCCCCCCAATTTTGGTAGCCATTTTAACCCTTCGGCTTCCAAAATTCAAAGACACCCATTGCATCATAATTTTACATATACCTTATAATCCCTAGAATTATCTCTTGATCCACTTCCCCAAAATGTCAATCAAGATAAACCGTCTTATCACTTATTAACTATCGCAATAATCTCTTCAATCGCCCAACCACCCACGGCTCTTCCATCAAAACAAATCCATCTCTCAAACTCTTCATTACCAACAAACTTCCTTCTTTCTTCTCCAATTTTCCTCTTTTGAAACCTTTCTGTAATCATGACTTTAAAGAAACCAAATTCAGATTTGAACCTAGAATCTCCGTTTCCAGAACCAACCTCACATACCCAAATAACGAAATCAATTATCAAAACCCTAGATGCTTCTGAAATTAAAACTTCAATCCTAATCGACATTATAGACAACGCTAAAGGGCTTGGCCCAGCGTTTAGCAACCAATTGCCCTCAGCCTTTTCATCGTTCTACCCTCAAACAAAACCAATATACCTCACAGCCGAAAGGGAAAAACCAACCCTCTCTGTCAGAAATTGGCATCCCCCTATGCCTCAATGGAATGAATGGGTTGATCACGTTTCAGCAGCAAAAGGCGAGTTGTGGAAGCAAATGGGTATATTCGACATCATTCAACTCAGTAAGATTTCTCTAATCCAAGACAAGCCATTACTTTTTGCTTCCATGCACTTTTGGTCCCCCACCACAAACTCATTACATTTGCATTGTGGCATGATGGCCCCTACGTTGTGAGACGTATGCTGTTTGACAGGTCTTAAACCTGGGGAAGATGATATAAATTATCTCCTTTATGACTCAGAGACCGCTTTCTATTTTCCAGAACAAAAAGGTGCCAAACCTCATGTCCAATCACACAGTACATTCCTAAAAGAGATGATAGGGGAAAAAGGAACCGAGGTTAATGAACAAAAACACATAGGGTTTCTTTTATTATGGTTATGTAGACATTTGCTCTGTGCACCTGCTATACAGATTACAAAAGACCTCACTCAATTAGCTATTGCACTGTCCAAAGGAAGGACTATGGCCCTTGCACCTTTTCTCTTAGCGTCCTTGTACAGAGGTTTGTTAGACCTTATTTCTTCCAACTTTGCCAGATCTGGAGGACCACTTTGGTTATTTCAATTATGAATGTACGCATATTTCCCCGAAGTAACTTCGGAAATTCAAATTGCTGCCGATGACCCCTTAATATCATTGGGGTTCGCCAAATCAAAACCCAAAGACCATTCATTTCCTGACTGTTTTCATTTCTTCTACCATCAGTGTAAGAGTATAACTAAATCCCAATTCTTTCCTTTCACAAAATGTCGTCTTGTCCCATCTTGGTTGTTACCTCCCACTGCCGATTCTTCAGAAGAACAAAAAGAACTGTATAAAATGTCTTGGGGTCATTTTCTTATCGCTAAAGACATATCCTGCAACACCGTTGCTCTTTATCTTGCAAAGAGTAGGACTGGAGTGGAATTTTACAACCCATCTCAATTAGCCAGACAGTTCGGGCTAACTCAAATGATCCCAGTACCTCCACATTTCTCTTATAACAAGAACTATCATCGAAGAGTAAAATTAGCAGATGGTGATCAAATCACAGATGTGAACAACCGTTTCCGCCAACTCTTGCAAGAATTTCAATACAAGTCTTTTCAAGAAGAACCATATGTCGATCCAAGCTTTGAAAGCTGGTGGATGGCGTATATCAATCAAACCAAAATACAAGATTCAAACCCTTTGGTGCACACCTTCCTGGGTTCATACAAATTCATCTCTCTGGCATTTCAAGGAGATAAATCGATTCCATCCATTTCTCTTACAACAGCACCCATCCTTGATACCAAACCTATCAAGCCAGTAAGTCAACCTCCCTCTACAGCTCCTGTAGCTAGGACCAGATCACGTTCTCGGCAAAGTAAGTTATGACCCTATTTATACCTCGTCAGTAATTATATCTATTCTTGAAAATGTTAATCCTTGAAATACAGGTACTCCATCCTCTACTCTTTAAGGAGTTATCCCGACTGTGTCAGAATCAATTCCAATTGATTTCTATGTGCCTCTTCAAAGTATGGCTCCTGTTACTACCGCTCAGGTAACGCTCATAACCATGCCAAGTGAATCAGTTGAGATCTTTCACTGCGTATTATTCATCTACTAAACTTTCATCTCAAAGGAAAACAAAAAGGAAAACTGTGGGAAGAAAACCAATTACAAAGTCGAGAGCCAAGAGACAAGTTATCTCAATTGATGATGATGAAGTAGACGAAGATGAAGATGAAGTTGTGTCTAAGAAAAGGAAACCTGTCCCCACAACTCCCCAGGTAACGTTCTTGATACCTGATTCTTATACTATGTCCTTGTCTAAATAGTATACCTAAATCAGCATCATTTTCAGAAAACTCCACTATCTTTACATCAAAAGACAAGTCCGGGAGATACTTTGAACAGTGTGGAAGGAGAAAATTTTGAAATGTCAGTAGGAAAAGAACAAAAGTTCCCTGAGTAAACAATCTCTCCAGTCTCCGCCGATCCCCTAGCTGCAACTTCAACGAACGAACAAATAGGAGACTCCGAGGAAGTAAGTTACAACTTTGATAACCTTTTTCCTATAAGCTCATAGTTACTAGGACTGACCCAAAATATTTCAGGTACAGAAAGACTCAGCTACTCCTGCCATTCCTACCAATATCGATCCAAGTTCTCCTTTTGCAACTCTTGACTCCTTGTTTAACTCTGTGCTTGACTCTCCGGACCCTGAACCTTCTGTAATCCCAACTAAGCCAACCTCCGAAACCCCCTTAGAAGTGAACAAAGCTATTCAGATATTAATTCAAATGCTGCAACAAGACCTGTCCTTGATCCCTTCTTTCAAAAGTGAACTTACCAAAACTTTTTCCTTCCTAAGTAGCTACCCGGGATTTTCCTTGAAGGATCAATCCTTTTTTAAGAATTTCCAACTTCAAGCCCCCTCCATGATTACTGCTTACGCCGAGCCAACTCATTCCATCAATCATTGTGCTGCTCAAAACCAAGAAAAGGAAAAACTTTCTCAATCTTTAAACTGTGGAAGAGAACTTCATCTGTCTTTGAAGAAAGAGGCTGCCGATCTAAATGCCAGGGAGAAACAACTGTAAGCAGAATTAGCTTAGCTTCAACAGGATAAATCCCAGCTCGACAACAAAGTGGCAAATCTGAGGAAACAGACCGAAGTTGTTGCGCCCAGGTTTAAAGCGCTACAGGCTCAAATGCCAAAGTTGGAGCAGTCCAAGAAGCAGGCAGAAGCGAAACTCGATCAAACCAGAGTATTATGGGCAAGTTTCAAAGCCCAATTTGAAGAATTTCATTAGAACTTTAACCAACCTTGAACTTTTTATTATCTCATGACAATTATTATGGATCTGTAATGTGGTTTTTGAACAATTTGCATCTTTTGGGAAGTAATGTGGTTTTCTTTGAACAATCTTGTTATCGCAATATATTGATGCTACTATTTATTTATCGCAGGAGCAAACTTTATCTTTACACAACTTGCATAAAAACAAATACAATCCACACTATCTTGACTTACTGGAAATTTTCTTTTCTTCCATGAGCTCAAAAATAGTTGGCTTACACTTTTTAAGGTACCTTCCATTTATTGGTCTCTTATGGATTTCACCATCTAGATCTTTTAACCTGTAAGCCTCCATGCAATACTTGATGAACCAAATATAGACCCTTCCAAGTAGGTAACCACTTGCCATAAACTCTATCCACCTTCCCAGGTGGAAGAATTGTTTGCCAAACCATATCACTCTCTGCAAATGACTTGAACTTCACCCTTTTGTTGTAAGCCCTCATTACTTTTGCTTTATGGACCATAAGGTCGTCTAAAGCAAGTTTTTGGACTTCATCTAAATCTTCTGACTTGGCAAGCATAGCTTCGTTGTAATCGATAAGTATAAGATTGTGTTGTAAAGCTACTCTTGCCGATTTTACATTTAACTCCATCGGCAACACAACGTTACGGCCAAATGTAAGCCGATAAGGAGTTGTCCCTGTACTTGTTCGCTTTGAATTTCTGTAAGCCCACAAAGCTTCTGAAAGGGTTTTATGCCAATGCCTTGGCTTATCTTTTATCATTTTCTCAATAATTTCAATAACAACTTTATTTGAAGCCTCTGTTTGGCCATTCCCTTGAGTATAATAGGGTGTTGAAGTTACCATTTTTACTTGCATATCAATGCCGAGTTGTAACACTTCATTTGCTCGAAACACAGATTCATTATCGGCAACAATTGTTTCTGGTAAACCAAATCGGTGAAAGATATGTCGCTCCAGAAACTGTATCACCGTGTTGTGAGTTACTGAGACATATTCCTCGACTTCTACCCATTTAGTGAAATAATCGGTAGCTAAAATTATCCAATGATGACCCTTTGATGATGGAGGATTAATCTTGCCGATTAAGTCCATGGCCCAACCTCTAAAAGGCCACGGTTTAACTAACAATTGCATCTCTATTGCTGGAACCCACTGCATTGGGCCGTTCTTTTGACAATCTATATAGCCCTTTGTATAGGTCATACAATCTTTTCTCATTCCAAGCCAATAATATCCATATCGGCGTATCAACCATCTCATTTTGATACCGGCTTGGTGAGCTCCACATATTCCTTCATGCACTTCTGCCATAATCTTTAAACTTTCAAACTTGCTAATACACTGAAATAATAAGCCATCATCAGCCGATCTCCTATAAAGATCTCCATCTATAAGAACATAATCGACTGCACTTCTTTTTATTCTTCGATCGACTTCTAGAGTTGGATGTTGTAAGAACAGGATGTAAGGGATTCGCCAATCATCATCATCCAACTCGGCAACATCAGTGGCAAAGACTTCTTCCATAATTTGATTTCTTGCTTCAGCCGATGGAAGAGATCGGCATGTAATTTTCATTATCCTTTCCTTCATACCACTCGGCACCCTGACTCCTGAAGCAGTCTGTGCTAAATCATTAGTTATTTTATTCATGGCCCTTGGTCTATATTCCAAAGTCACATTATAAAATTGGTTGACCAATTGGGTTGCCAATGAATGGAATGGTCTTAATTGCCAATTCAAGCATCTAAAGTCTTTTGAGATTTGATTAATCACTAAACACGAATCTCCCACAATGTGAACGTCTTTGACTGCCATTTCTAGCAGAATTTCCAAGCCGATAATCAATGCTTCATACTCGACTTGATTATTTGAGCACTTGAAATCCAAAAAGAAAGAAAATGAAATTTGATTCCCTATTGGGGATATTAGCATGATGCCAGCTCCTGAGCCTTCACTAGTACTCGACCCATCAAACATTAAAGTCCAAGGGGTCATGAATATGGCTGTTGAGTCAAGCTCATCAAACACTTATGATTCAATTTCAGGTGATGGATGATCGGCAAGAAAGTCTGCCAATGCTCTTCCCATAATTGCCTTTTGTGGAACATATGCAAAGCTGAACTCCATTAATGCTAGAGCCCACTTACCGATCTGGCCTATGATTAATGGCTTTGATAGCATATACTTTATACGATCTGTTTGACAAACAATATAAACCAAAATAGGTAACATATAGACTCTTAATTTCATTGCTGCAAAATACAAAGCCAAACATAATTTCTCAATCGGTGTATATCTACACTCGACAGGAGTTAAAACTCGGCCGAGATAATATATTGCTTGTTCACTTCCTTCTTCATTCTCTTGTGCTAACATAGCTCCAATAGATTCTTCAGCAGCCGATAAATATAATTTCATCGGCCATTTCTTCCTTGGTGGCATCATGACAAGAGGACTCGACAAGTAATTCTTAATCTGGTCAAATGCCCTTTGATGTGTATCATCCCATTTGAATACTTCCATCGGCTTCAACTTTAGTAATGGGGAAAACACATGTAGCTTCCCAGCTGTATTAGCAATAAATCTCCTAGGATAGTTCATTAACCCAAGTAACCTCTGCAACTGTTTCTTGTTTCTCAGCGCACTAGCAACAATAATTGCCTTAGCTTTATTCCTATCGATCTTTATACCCCTTTGATGAACCAAAAAACCCAAAAAGTTTCCTGCCGATACTCCAAAGGCACACTTTATTGGATTCATTTTTAACTTATAAGCCTCATCCTCTCAAAGGATGTTTTGAGATGAACCAAGTGCTCCTTTTTTGTTTCTGATTTTACTAGTACATCATCAATATATACCTCCATAAACTTGCCGAGCATATCATGAAAAATAGAATTCATAGCCAGTTGATATGTAGCACCAGCGTTCTTCAAACCAAAAGGCATTACCACCCACTCAAAAGTTTCAATCGATGCAGGACACCTAAAAGCTGTCTTTGGAATATCTTCCTTGGCTATATAAATCTGATTATAGCCTGAGTGTCCATCCATAAAAGACATAATTTGGTGCTTTGCAGCAGTATCAATCAGTTGATGGCTATCGGCATTGGATACTCATCTTTGGAGTTGCTAGGTTTATGTTTCAGAAATCGACACATACACGTAATTTTCCATTCTTTTTTATAACAGGAACTACATTTGATATCCATTCAACATACCTTGTAGTTTGATTGAAGCCAGCATCGAATAATCATTCGATTTCCACTTTAACTTTGTCTACCACCTCTTGAGACATTCGACGAGGTGGCTGTTTATATGGTTTGTAGCCATTTTTAATGGGCAACCGATATTCTACCAGATCTCTGGATAAACCCAGTATTTCCTCATAATTCCAAGTGAAACAGTCACTGTATTCTTTTAACATGCCGATAACCTCAGCTTGTAATTCTGGTTCTAACAGTGCACTGATGTAAGTTAGTCTAGGCTTTGCGTTAGTGCCTAAATTCATCTCCTTTAAAGGATCCTGAGTTTCTGCTTTAAGATCATTGAGCTTAGCCGGTGCAAATTCTAAGTCTTCCAACTGAATTGCATCTAACTTTTCATTATAGAATCGATCGACCTCGGTAAGATTAACCGATGGTCCTGGCTCTGTTATTGCTTCTTTTTCTAACCGTTTTTCGGCTATGTAGGCTTGTAACCTAATGCAAGCGGCCCTAAAGGCCTACTGCCAAGCTGCTTTTCTTTCAAGTTTCGCTTCCATGAACAACTTCTTCTTCAATTATAGTAAGCCGAGGGAGTTCTACCTTCGGCCTAGAATTCTCTTGCTGTAACTCGCCGATTTCACGATTGGCAAGACTTCTTCTCATGGTTGCCAAGGTTGGTCTTCCATCGACTCCTGTTCCCAGAAATTGAATAGGAACACATTCCTCATCATACAAAATAGCATCTGCCGAGTACATTTTTGCCACAAATGGCTTATCATCGGCATTCACTATTTTCACCTTATCTCCATCCCAAAAAATCAGCATCTAGTGTAATGATGATGGGATGCACATATTTGGATGAATCCAGTCATGGCCTAATAACAAATTATAGGAAGCCGTGGATTCAATAATAAAGAATACCGCAAAAGATGTCCTACCTCTAACTTCTACCTCTGAAGGAAGAATCCCTTTAGTGCTAGTAAAGCCTCCATTGAAACCACAAATTGCTACATCAGTAGGAATAACATCTTCCATACTCTTGCCGAGTTTCTTCAATGTGTTTGCTAGAATAACATTCAGAACCGAGCCATTGTCTACCAAGACTCGATTAATAAGTTAACCTTCTACCTATACCTTAACATACAAAGGCCCGAGTTGTTGAGTCATTGCTAACAAAGGTTTTTCAAAAACTACTTTCTCTACCGATTCTGAAGAAAGAATTGATAAATTCTGAATTGGCTGAGTCTCTTTTTCCTTATTTTCAGTACTTGTATTTGATGTCGATGGGGCCTGGAACATTGCTGGTAATACAAACGCCATATTACATGACATTTCATCTGGGAAACTGCTAAATTGAATTTTAAACTCATTGTTGCGTCTAGGCCACATCGGCTGATGCTCGTCATCCAGTTGATCTTTATCTAGAATACCGATTTCCTCGGCCGACACTACTTTACTTCCTTCCTCGGCTTTCTTTTTTTCCTCAGCCCTTTTCCTTTGTTCCCTACGTTTTTGAGATCAAGTTAGACCTCCATTCTGATATTGTTGAGCTTTAGGGAATTTTGGATGATTAACTCGAGTCCATCTATCTTCAGTTGAATCTGTCATTGGTTTCACAGTTCGCACTCTATATGAATCGGCTTCTTTCTGTATCCAAATTTTTAACTGAACCGGCAACTGCCTCTTAAAACTGGGATGCCAATTTTGGGGATGAAATCGGCTAGATATATATACTTGCCGAGTTTGCTTTCCCGCCTTCAAATAACTGATGTTGGGTCCACCTTGCCGAGGTTCTTCCCCATGCTTCAATAGGAAAATAAGCCTCTCAAGAATTCATTTCTTCTTTGGTTGAACCTCCATTGGCACATCTTCCGCTGACTTTTGCTTTCCTTTGCAATTTGGGCAACAACCGTGATCAATCAAAGCCAATTGAGCTTCCCTTAATTGTTTCTATAGTTCTTCCATCTTTCAGGTGTCACAATTGATGAAAGGAACTCACCAGATATCTTTTCAGCCTCCTGCCGATTCTCTCGCTTGGCTAAGCTTATCACATTTGTAGATGTGATTGTAGGATATGGATTAGTATCCACTTTCATGGTCTCTGAAGTTTTCTCCGGGAATTTTAAAGTACCTTCATCAATAGCTTTCTGTAATACACCTCGTAGAACAGTACAATCATTAGTAGCATGGTTCCAAACGTTATGATAATTACAATACTCTTTTCTTTTCAAGTCACTTGCCTATGGAATCTTATGCCCTTTAGGCAAAGATATCATTTTATCGGCCATTAAGTAATCAAAGATTTGATCTGTTTTCGACAAATCGAAAGAGTAACTTTTCCTGGTATCGGCAGGACCTTTCCTTGCTGCCGATGTTGATGTTGATGATGCATTGCCCCCCGTGGTCGGTTTAGGTTTAACCAATGCCTCACAAACGTATGGCTTTTTTATATTAACTTCTGCAACGTCAACTTCTCATTCATCTCCAACTTCTGCCTAGAATACCTCATAATTAGGGTCCTTGTACCAAGTACCCTTAGAAGAATTCTTCCTCTCTTTCTCTTCTTTTAGTATTGCCTTATACCGAGAAGCCCTGTCTGCTAAATTGAAGAGATCTTGAAACTCAACCCCATTAAACCTCTTACGATGTTCAATGTTTAGACCATTCAATGCCAACTTGATGTATTCTGGTTCTGGCAAACTTACTCGGCATTTGAGTTTAGCCTTTCTGAACCTGGCAACAAAAGTCTCAACCGATTCACTCGGTAACTGAGATAACCGAGATATGTCTGCCAGCGTAGCTTCTATCTCTGTTCGGTAGAATTGGGTATAGAAAACCTCTTCCATCTCATCCCAAGTTTGAATAGAATTGGCCGGTAAGTTGCTATACCATTCAAACGTCGCCCTGGAAAGAGAGCTAGAAAATAACTTCATCCTAAACCAAGGGCTAGGACCTGCTTCTCCACATTGTGCAGTGAACCTTGTAATATGCTGCACCGTAGAGAACTTCTCTTCACCACTGTACATAAAAAAATTGGGATACCGATAATTTCTAGGCAACTCATGGGCATCGACATGATTAGGATAAGGCTTTCTATATACTGGTCGAGCACGTCTGTGACCTTATGCTACTTCGGCCTGTATTAAAGCTAAAATCTGAGCCCTATCAATCCCTACATTTCTTCCTGGAGGATCATTTGGATAGCGAGGAATGAATGGATTAACCCACTCCCTTTGATGATCGGCATTTACTTGCCCCCCAGCAGCCACTAGAGGTATCAATGGATTAGCCCTACCTTGGTTTAGGTTGCCTACCACTTCTTGCTAATCTCTCACTAGTGGAATCGGCTGCACATGTGGACGCTGCACATTTTGATTATGTTGATCATTTAATGGTGGCTAGTACACCGGCATAGTATTTACTACTGGCGGATCTGATATGATTGGTGGATTCCCCATTGGCATGCCGAGTATATGATTCGGCACATTGCCAATTGTAATACCAAGTCCTGCACTTGGCGGTACGATGCTTGTTCGAGGCCCTTGGGAAATATGTATCAATGGTGCCATCATACGCTGAAATATGGACTCATTAATATGAGATGCTTCGGCTTAATTATGTCGATTTTGATTAGCCGATATACTGGTTTCAAGCTTCTGATTCATCTTCTCCATTTAAGCGTACATCATTTGATTTAATTCCCCAGTCATTGACCTCATCTCATATATCTGAGAAACCAAAATTTGATTTGATTCCCCCACCTGAGACCTTACTT